TTATCTGTTATACATCATCGTTCTGCGGCCTGTCAGCTGATGGTGTGTCAGTACTGACACAGTTCGGTGTTGCGGCTGATCTGTTACTTGTAGTTCTACAAGCTTGGGCTCTTTTCCTACCTTATTCTGCTACTGGTTTGGCAGCTTTAAGCATTGGCAGAGCTTACCTGCTGTCTCCTGGTGCTGAGTGTCTGCAGTCTACCTTGACCTTTGGCCTTGTCTCCTGGTGGCATGCCCTAACCTTTGGCCTTGTTTCCTGGTGATCCTAGTCCGCTGCCTGTACTTACTTTTGGCCTTGTCTCCTGGCAATTCTAATCCGCCGCCTGCCCTGGCCTTTGGCCTTGTCTCCAAGTGAACCTAGTCCAACGCCTGCCCAGGGCTTTGGCCATGTCTACTGGTGATCCTCGTCCTCTGCCTGCCCTGACTTATGGCCATGCCTACTGGTAATCCTCATTTGCTGCCTGACCTGACCTTTGGCTTTATCTCCTGGTAATTTTAGTCTGCTGCCTGCACTGACCTTCAGCCTCCTCTCCTGGTGATCCTCGTCTGCTGCCTGCCCTAACCTTTGGCCTTCTCTCCAAGTGATCTTAGTCTAATGCCTGACCCGGGCTTTGGCTTTGTCTCCTGGTGATCCTTGTCCGCTGCCTACCCTGACCTTTGGCCATGTCTACTGGTAATCCTGATTTGCTGCCTGACCTGACCTTTGGCTTTGTCTCCTTGGCCTTGTGGCGATGGCATCAGTTTGAGACTCCTCTGAGATCATTCAGAATTTATTGACAGGTTCATTTGACCTGTAGTTGACCTCCTTCTGACCTGCATTTGTCCTTTTTCAAGCTGGTTTTGCATTCCAATAGACATTTTGGAAATCCAAACCACATCTGTTGCAAGCAAAAGCCCATCGATATAGGCTCTTAGGGAACTTGAATAATCAAGATGTAAGGTTGTATCTCATGTTCCTCATTCTATAGTGACGGGTTTCTGCCAATGGTTTTTAAGCTTCTGTTGAAGGTATAAGTTAGACATAAGTTTGAGACACTTCTGAGACCAATCAGAATTCAATGATAGGGGCATGCGGCCTGCAGTTTTGTCTTCCTTCTGACCTGCTTCAAGTGGGTTTCTCCATTCACATAGCATAGATGCCAACTGTTTGGGATTTGCCAGAACAGTCATGTATCTTGGACCTCATTTCCAATTATGCTTTGTCCCACCAGATCTTAAGGGACTAAAATATTCTAGATGTAAGATAATATCTTAGGCTTATTCTATAGCAAAAGAGACAGGCTTGTACCATTGGGTTTTGGGCTTGTGGCAATAGCATCAGATTGACATCATCCTGTGCCGATGGGCTTTGGGCATGTGGCGATAGCATTAGTTTGACATCATCCCGTGCCGATGGGCTTTGGGTTTGTGGCAATAGCATCAGATTGACATCAGCCCGTGCCGATGGGCTTTGGGCATGTGGCAATAGCATTAGTTTGACATTGGCCCATACCGATGGGCTTTGGGTTTGTGGCGATAGCATCAGTTTGACATCAGCCCACGCCAATGGGCTTTGGGCTTGTGGCGATAGCATCAGTTTGACATCAGCCCATGCCGATGGGCTTTGGGTTTGTGGCAATGGCTTCAGTTGTACATTAGCTTGATACGCTTTTGAGATCATTCAGAATTTATTGATGGGGCATATGAACTGCAGTTGATATCCTTCTGACCTGCTTTTGTCCTGCTTCAAGTGGGTTTTGCATTTTCCATGGCATAAGGTAAAATCTCAAGTTCATTCTATACATACATGTGACGGGCTGTACCTATAAGCTTTGGGCATATAGTTATGGCAACAATTTGACATGTTAGTGTAGATGGGCTTTGGGTTTGTGGCGTTGGTATCAGTTCAATATCAGTTTGAGACGCTTCTGAGACCATTCAGAATTAATTGGCAGGTGCATTTGACCTGTAGTTGACCTCCTTCTGTCCTGCATTTAACCTGCTTCAAGCTGGTTTTGCATTACCTTAGACATTTTATGGGTATTTAAAACCAGTCTGATGTGAACAAAAGCCTATTGACACGGACCTTTAGGGGCTGGAATAATGTAGATGTAAGGTTGTAGCTCATGTTCCTCATCCCATAGTAGATGCGATGGTCAGAAACGTTTGGCCAAGAAGTAGAAGACGCGCACTTAGCATGATGATGTCTGATATATATACTACCAAAGACAAATGAATAACATTTCCGTCGTTCCTCGAGCAGCCTGTGAGCGAACGTTGTCTCCCTAGTATTGCATCTGCATTGTTAGAATTTTTGGTCTTTGCCTTTGCATTACGAATCCCGACGCCCATTTATGAGCCGGAAGCATTGCCAGGAATCAGTGTCCTCCAATGTCGTATTAACTTCCGAGGACAAGTATCAGAGGATCCTGAAGTGCCAACAATTGTTCTAAGGTGCTAAAAGTCGTCCCCCTCTACCAGACTCCAAGTGTCAATTTCTATAGGCCTTTCCCCACCCCCATTTATATACCTCATTATTGAAATAGTGCTTGACATCCTGTTGGTATTTAATCCTCTTAGATTCTGCAAGGCTTTGTTCCAGTTTTCCCAACACTCTCATTCTGTCTATTTCTCAGTTGATTGAACTCCAGTGAAAATCTGAAATTGGCCAAACCCGTCCTGTTTGCTTGTATGTAGGATTTTCAATTCCTTCAAAGATAAAAATGAAACTGTTAAACCCGTCTAGAGCTGAACTCCAAACAGTGCAGATAAAATACACACATGGAATCTGTTTTACCTGCCAAGGGATTTGTATTTCATGGGCACATGAGCAATGTGTATTGTAACAATTTGTTATTTGTTGTCTGTATATTATAACAATTGCCCATTTGTTGGCTGTGTATTATAGCAATTGCACATTTGTTGGCTGTGAATTATAACAATTGCCCATTTGTTGCCCATGTATTGTAACAATTGCCCATTTTTTGCCCATGTATTGTAACAATTGCCCATTTGTTGGCTGTGTATTGTATATGATTGCCCAGTAGTAGCCTTTGCATTGTCAGGATTGCCATTTTTGCCAACATGTTGTCACTTTATTGCTACTTAGAGGATCAGATTACTAGAATGTTGCCCTCCTCCAGATCTGTCGCTATCCACCCCGCCTCTATTAAACCCTTGATTGTTTTTTCTTGATCTTTTAGAAGGGGGTGTTAACAAATAATTTGCCCTGAGTGTCAAAAAAAGCTGTGTACACAATTGGCCTGATACACATTGCTAAGCATGGTGCATCATCTACGATGAGATGGGGAGCCATCATAGGCGGTTCATAGGCTCATAGGAGGTTCATAGGAGGTTCATAGGATCAAGGAGGTTCATACGCTCATAGAAGGTCCATAGGAGTTTCATAGGAGGATCATAAGAAGTTCATAGGAGGTTCATAAGTTCATAGGAGGTTCATAGGTGGTTCACAGGATCATAGGAGGTTCATAGAAGGTTCATAGGATCATAGGAAGTTCATAGGAGGTTCATAAGTTCATAGGAGGTTCATAGGTGGTTCACAGGATCATAGGAGGTTCATAGGAGGATAATAGGAAGTTCATAGGAGGTGCTTAGGCTCATAGGAGGTTCATAGAAGGTTCATAGGATCATAGGAAGTTCATAGGAGATTCATAAGTTCATAGGAGGCTCATAGGTGGTTCATAGGATCATCGGATGTTCATAGGAGGATCATAGGAGGTCCATAGGAGGTTCATAGGCTCATAGGAGCTTGATATGAGGTTCATAGGATCATAGGAAGTTCATAGGAGGTTCATAGGCTCATGGGAGGTTCATAGGTGGTTCACAGTAGGAGGTTCATAGGTGGTTCACAGGATCATAGGAGGTTCATAGGAGGATAATAGGAAGTTCATAGGAGGTGCTTAGGCTCATAGGAGGTTCATAGAAGGTTCATAGGATCATAGGAAGTTCATAGGAGGTTCATAAGTTCATAGGAGGTTCGTAGGTGGTTCAAAGGATCATAGGAGGTACATAGGATGATCATATGAGGTTCATAGGTGGTTCACAGGATCATAGGAGGTTCATAGAAGGTTCATAGAAGGTTCATAGGATCATAGGAAGTTCATAGGAGGTTCATAAGTTCATATGAGGTTCATATGTGGTTCATAGGATCATCGGATGTTCATAGGTGGTTCATAGGATCATCGGATGTTCATAGGAGGATCATAGGAGGTCCATAGGAGGTTCATAGGCTCATAGGAGCTTGATATGAGGTTCATAGGATCATAGGAAGTTCATAGGAGGTTCATAGGCTCATAGGAGGTTCATAGGTGGTTCACAGGATCATAGGAGGTTCATAGAAGGTTCATAGAAGGTTCATAGGATCATAGGAAGTTCATAGGAGGTTCATAAGTTCATAGGAGGTTCATAGGATCATAGGAGGTACATAGGATGATCATATGAGGTTCATAGGTGGTTCACAGGATCATAGGAGGTTCATAGAAGGTTCATAGGATCATAGGAAGTTCATAGGAGGTTCATAAGTTCATATGAGGTTCATAGGTGGTTCATAGGATCATCGGATGTTCATAGGAGGTTCATAGGATTATGGGAGGTTCATAGGATCATAGGAAGTTCATAGGAGGTTCATAGACTCAAAGGAGGTTCATAGGATCATATAATGTACAAGGGAAAACATCTGAACAATATTCTGTATTTTGTAAGGCTGTATCTTTATTTGATCAAATTAAAAAAAAAAATCCTTTTGGGTTTTGGATGGAGGAGGGAACAGACCCTCCTTTTAGGTTTTTATTGCTGTCAATGGCCAGTTGGGGATATTCACCCTCTCTATCTGTGCTGGTGAGCATTGTTACTATTTTGCCCTATTTGGCCTCCAACCACAGCTATATACATTGTGCAAAAAAAAAAATCCCTAAAACTAATAACTTTTTAGCACTTTGATCGATTTTTTAGGGTGTATTGTTTCCTTTTGATTGACTGATCCCCTTTTCTTTCTGTTACAGGACTACACCATCACCATGTATTTTCAGCAGAGTTGGCGGGACAAGCGTTTGGCCTATTCCGCCCTGCCCCTGAATCTCACACTGGATAACAGAGTGGCCGACCATCTTTGGCTCCCGGATACATACTTTCTGAATGACAAAAAGTCGTTTCTACACGGAGTCACGGTCAAGAATCGAATGATAAGATTGCACCCAGATGGTACAGTGCTCTATGGGTTAAGGTGAGTCATTAGAAGTTGTGAGCTGACGGGAGTTCATTGCGTTCATCGTCTTAGGAAAGCAGGTCAATGACATAAGAGTCTGACATCTCAGTTTGATGTCCTTAGTTATACAAAACTATGAACTTTATGTTTTGTGTCAGATACACATTGCTGGTCATTATGTGACGATCATTAAATATCATCACACCCCCATAATTCAAATGATGTAATCATCACAATCTGTATGAATTACACATCCTTATTACCCCCACACAGATAATGCTGATAATATAGTTTCTGTCCCTGCATAGGCAACCATGGTCAGATTTACTCTCTCCGCTGCCCCAAGGCCAGGTTCCTCAGCGTGCCCCCCTCCCCCGCCCAACCCCTCACCCCAATGGAGAATGGCAACCAAATGGCGGGGGCGGCAGGGTTAGTTTTATTTTTTTTTAATGTTTTCTTTAATAA